GCGAGGAAATTCCGGGTAAACGGACCCGGCCGCCGGAGCGCCAGGGACGCTTTTGTTCAATGATTTACGCTCTTTCCTGTTTATAAATTTCACTGGAAATTGTAGCCGAGAGTAGAAATTATAAACGAACCCTCTAAAGAGAGAACGAACCTTTTGTCATCTTATTATGGAAATGCGTCCTTTAGGAGCTGCTAAAATATCGCCTTTTGTTCGAACGGACTTAGTCTAACGACGTACAAGGGTGATATAATTTTAATTTATTCAAATGGCTCTCAGCGACTTACTTTTACCTCCCCAATTAAATCGGAATCAAATTTCATAAAGAAAATAAAAACCTGAATGACTCGGGGCTTTATCAAATGAGTATCGGGATTGAATATTTTACGGCCGCAGTTTCCGGGAACTATTCTATTTTGATAGATAACGGAGTCTGTCGTCTTCCTGTATTATCTCGGATTTATACCAGATTTATCGGATGAAATAAAAACTTTTATATGTGAACAATACTAATGGAAGATTAGGAAGCATATATATAAATGGGTCATGAATTCTTTTGTTTTACTATGATGGAATCATTTTACTCAAAACTGCATTGTAAAAATTGAGAAAATTGATAATTTAAAGGCAAGCTTTAACATCAGGATCGTGACGTAACTATTCCTGTTTCAAAGTCAATACAATCACTGTCGCTTTTGTTCTCGCTTTGACAAGGCGAGTGAATTTACACGGAGAAAGCGCTCTCCTAAAAACACTGGTTGTCAGAGGATGGAAAAGCTAGAATAGACGGACAAAGAAATTACTCTCAACCAAGTTTGAACTCCGGGACTGCACAGGACTTCAATAATCATATATTCTATAGAAATTGGTTAGAAATTAAATATCGAACATTTTTCAAAACGACAAATACACTGTCTTGGCATCATCTAGAAAAAAAACCTTCAATATATTCCTCCTCCTGAATATTTTTGAATATAGGCAAGAAACCGTGAAACTGCCTCTGATATATACTTCATAAATCACCCCTGGCTCGAAGATAGATTATAATATTAGCATGTAAAAAACGTATAGGGTACAGCGGAGAATATTTGAACTTCTTCCACCAATATCACGACCTCGGTCAATTCCAGTGTAGCGCTATGTAAATTCCCAATTGTAAATTTATATGGGTTACAGCCCCAATTCCGGCTCTTGCCTATTATCCTTGCCTCAATATGCGACTCTAGGGAATACTAGGGGAAAATGAATAGTCTTTTACGAAAATAGCTTGGTAATTATAATGCTAACGATAATTGGAACTTTATCAAATATCATAAAAATAATTCAAGCAAAAAACAAACACATATAGATATCAACTTCAATAAAAGAGGGCAACATTTTTCACTTCCCTGAAAATATACACCCTAAATATCGTTTGTGTGTTTGCATTTACCTCAAACACCCGACTTTTGCCTGCCGAAGAAAGCGATAATTTCTTTTCGCCCTCGGATTTATTGTATGTAAATTTGCTTCACCCCCTCGATTCTCAAGGGTATCTTCACAATAGGGTGATTTATTTGTTCTGAAACTGCAGTTTGCTCTTTGCTCTTGTTTGAGCTAAATATAAGGTGATTTACACAGCGAGGAGGGCGGCTCCCCCGCCGTTTGTTTTTAAAAGTATGAAAAATTGCCCTTTTACGAAGTGCATTGTTTACTGGAAATTTTCAGGGAGGTGAATGTTTTTCTTTTTTAATAATTTGTTGTGCCCCTTTAAAATATAAAACTTGTATTTGAAGTTTTTCCATAAATCACGACCGTAATGGAAAACCGAAGAAAAACAAAATGTATACGCTACATTTACTAAATCAAGGGGCGGTGAATACATTATCACTCCGGCTTGAATTTTTTTGGGATAATATTGATATTTTAGGCTAATATTTCAGGTCACAATATTATCTGTGATGTTTTTGGTCAAAAATCTCTTCCAATACATTTTCGCAGATTTACACAAAAACACCTTTCACAGAATGTGTTTTCCAGCTAGTCGAGAGTAGAGTGAAAGGGGATTTACTCGAAAACTGCATTTGATGCATCAGGATAAATGCCCTGTTTTGTCGCGTGAGAGAACCGAACAGGATATAAGACGAATCAATAGTAGAAATCTACAATCAGAATATATAATTGGAAGTTGTATATGAAATCAATTAATATGTTTCATGTGGGATTCTATGTAAATAGGATTTTGCTCTAAAAGCAATCGTTCATTTTTCGACTTTGAACAATATAGTGACGAATGTTTTGGTATTGTGAAAGTTTTATCAGCCTTCCCTAATCCACTCTTGAATCTATGTCAGTGAGTGCTTTATTGTGTAACTTCATTGGTTGTTTGCACAATCCATATCTTTTTGTTTATACAGTTTCATGAAGAGCCGAAAACCTATAACTGTCTTGGCAAGTGCTGCTGCTCCACCACTTAATGCACCTAAGGCGCTAAGACCCGCAAAAATTGAAGTAAGAACACCTGTTTTCGGTATACTTATCTCACCTATAGAGTGAAAGGCGATTTACTCGGAACTGCATTTGATACATAAGGATAAATGCCCAGTTTTATCGCATGAGAGAACCGAACAGGATATAAGACGAATCAATAGTAGAAATCTACAATCAGAATATATGATTGGAAGCTGTATGTGAATTCAATTAATATGTTTCATAGGGGATTATACGTAGAAATGTTTTAACTGGTGGTTCTCCGATTCTAAAAAGCAATCTTTCGTTCCTTGATTTTGAGGAACATAGTGACGAATGTTTTGGTATGGTTGTTACAATAAATTTATCATTTACGTAACATGTTGCATCCCTTCTTATTTTCATTATAAAGTTATATTTTTGCCATTTCAGAATCAGCAAAATAATAATTCATAATCTAAGTAATCTAAAAATATCCACAAAGTTCGATATAATACCAGTACTATTAAATGAAGGTACTGCCATCTAGTACCTGATGGATTTATTTTTCAAAGTATGATTTTAATTATTCCGCATTTGACAGTCATTTGTATTTTCATTGAAAGAAATTATATTTATCTCACTTTTAGCAAATGGATATATTTCTGTCTTTCTCTAACTTCTGATTCTGAAATAATCATTTTTGGCCTAATGACCTAATTAATTAGCAGTTTTTTGTTTTTAACATAGCCCTAATTTAAATTATTATAATTTGTAAACAATTAAAATAATTCTAGTGGATTTTTATCTATTCTCTTTTATTCCACGTGGTTTTCATTGTGAAGTGAATATGGTCTTTTGGGTGTAATCTTCTGATTGGTTGATCTGGTTAAAACGCAGTTAGGTATCAAAAACACGGGATTGTTTGTTGTTCTCTTTTCTCTGGCAGTGCTCTAGCAGGCGAGTAATTTTTATTTTTATAATTTTTTTTCTACACATTTTTAGATTCTCCCTTATAAATTTGGCAATTTATTTTGCCATCAAAGCATACTTCATTATTAAGTTTTTACATGATGAATCTTATCTTATCTATTCTTGAAATATAAATATTATAATTGGTTGAGGTTTTGTTTGGGATTTGATCGAAATAATCCCAAACAAAACCTCATCCAATTACAATTAAGGGATCGACAACAAACTAACCAAGTAATAAATATTATATTTTAATTTTTTATCTAATTGCAGGCCTCCATTTTGTGTGATTGGTGGTTCCACGTTTTTTTTTTTTTTGAGGTAAGTCAATTCAGATTTTTGGGCTTATAGATAGGTACTGCTGCTCTGGTTTTCAGAATCAATTGTTAGTGTGGGAATATTGAACCGTTTGCTCTGAATAGAGTCGGTGAAAACCAGATTTGTGTGTCCATCCCCATCAACTCTTTATTGAATCCAAGCAGAGGTCTATATAGCCATTTTCTCTTTGATTCCATCAATTATTATCTCAATTATTATCTTCTCGGAAAGAAGAGTGTTGAAAAAGGGTGTAATTTTCTAAAATAGAAATCCAGACAGGTCAAAAATTCATTTGAAAAAATTAAAACATCTCAAGAATCTTGACAGTTCCTGGATTTGATTGATTTCACCCTCAGGTTTATCTTGTAGTACCTATAGTAGCTACCTTGGCTTAAAAGGCAAAGTTTGTCTATTTGGGGGAGAATCTAAAAATTTAATTTCTTAATTTTCTATCTGATTTTGTTCATATTCTTGCCCGTTATTGCTACTGTAAGAAAAGCAGTACTCCGCTCATTTTGTAACGAGCATTTTAATTTAATCTTGCTGTTATTATCTATTTTTATGATTATTTTTCAATTATTTAATTGTATTTTTTTATTAAAATATTTCTCCAATTTACAATTGTCGCTCATACTTACCTGATTCTGTAGGAAAGAAGTGTCTGCACAACAATAATTTTATATTAAACTAACTTTTTTAAGCAAAATTAAAAAGAATTCACCGTCTTATATTTTAATTTTTTTTAGAAAACAATTTAAATTTTCTTTGCAAGGCACTCTCTTTTTGACAGAATTCAGGGATTTAATATTCCAAATCTTGGTGAACCTGATGCTGCCTTATTCTTTTCTGGGTACCTACTCGACATAGAGATCACTATTTGGAGTCTGGATCAGCTGGAGTGACTTCACCCCAGCAATCTATCCTCTTTCCTGGATACAGGAAACAACCCGAATACTCCAGTTCACGAAAGTGAAACCCCAACATCCATTGAAGAGCTCCGGATTCGAAAGCTACATTGTATCAGGAAAATGATCAGGAACAACCAAGCTGTCAACTATCAAATTTTAAAGAAAGTAACATTAACTGTTAGTATATTATAAACAAAATAAAATAATTATTGTTTGTTGGATTTTGAGTGGTTTCATTTGCACATAAAGGGGCTACACGTTATCTTATTTTTTTTGAATCCCACGACCCTAGGTTCTCGTATCTTAAAGTTCAAATAACGAGGTTTATTTGTAACATGGTAAAAGTTTTAAAGAATACACATATAGATCATTACTTACGTATTGTGCTGTTGATTCTCTTGACAGTCGGACACGCCCTCCACAATCCTATTCTAAAACTGATCGTAGTTTTCAGAGCCACTTTTTCCAAGGGTAAAGGTTCCTTCGTGTACAACCACGAACCACTCACGAAAGCCACGAGAAGAATACATAGCGCTAAAAGTCCTAAAAAAAATCCGAGTCTCGACAAACCGCTTTTCTGTTTGCAGCACATAACTCCTGTTACGGTTAGGCTGGTGAATTTGAGAAAATCCAATCCATATTTTTCCAAGCTATAGACGAAGAAAGGTAAGGCGTTTTTTGTTGTCGTATATCATTTTATTATTTTCTAGCTTTGTCTATTATTTCAATCTTCATTTGGCTAGTAGTTCTTTATTCACATTCCTTCTGTTTAATCCTGGAAAAAGAGAAATGAAGTATTATTCAAAAAAACAATTATTTTCAACAAAAGAAATATTTCTAATCTCTTTGAGCTAACAATAAAAAAAAATGTTTACAAAAGAAATTCTTTTTCCCTTATTCGAAAACTTATTTTGTCGTTAGACAAGCAGCGCCTCAGATATCACGGTAATATTGTCTTGCCATTTATGATAAGATAAATTTCAAGACCTACATTTTCTCATTTTCTTTGTGTGCCGACTCGAGGAAAAAAGAATATGAGGAGCTATGTTTACATTTCGTTGACGTATTATTATTAGAGACTCTACGCTATCGTGTTTTCCTAAGGCAGTAAGATATAGTTCTCGGGCTTGGAAATATGAAATGTTCAAGTAGGAAAAATAACGAGGAAATTGCGCGATGAATATTTTTGGAGTAACCCAAACCGAACTTGAATTCGAAAAGATTCGAAATACTACAATATATTTTTCACTTTTTTTTGCATGACTTATGAGGCTGTGACTATTTTTCCATGTTGTTCAATATTTTTATCACATAATTGGGAAAACTACTAGTCTTAGATAACGGTTATGATATTAATTTTGATCTTGAATTACGGTACTTCCGGTTGCCTAATCGATTTCTGATGCTAATTTTTGATCTAGTCTACGTCAAAAACATATGTGCCAATATGCCGCACTTGAGAATATGCCAGCTTCTGAAAGTTTTGCATTTAGGCCCCCGATGGCCGACATCTTGAATTATGGTACTTTCGGTATCCGAATCGACTTCCGGTACTCATACTCATGTTCAGCGACCCCAGAAACATATGAAGACATCTCGCCGGTCAATAACGATACATTTTAAGAAAAATGTCATTTAGGCCCTTAGTTTGGCCGCCATCTTGAATTTGAGGCCTTTGGAGGCAAAACTCGACTTGGCAACATCCGGATTCGGATTCAGCGAGGTCCAAATACCCTAGAAACGTCAAGTTGCCGAATGTCGCACGAAATGCCGCTCGGAGTAAAATTTCTGAAAATGTCCACCAGTCTATAGGAGCTAGCAACTGTTAGGAAAGGTGCAGACCCGCTCATGCCGGACATGATTTTTTTCATCAGGTCCAAGGAACACGTGAACACGCCACCTTTATATGCCCAAGGTTCTTGTAGGAGATATAGGAGTTCACTTGAACGTTAAGTGGAATAAATCACATAAATCATTGGAAATATTAGAGTAGAAAAATAACTATTTCATTCTAGAACATATTCGTACAGTAACTCGATAGTCATATTATTATAAAGATTGAAAGCAAAAATAAAGAACAACCAGTTGAACTTTCTAGCGTTTAATAAAGATATTAATCTTGGAACAGTCGACGGGCGACGGAAGGCATCGTAAATGGATTGTGAGTAGCATAACTATTAATCTTGTAAAAGTAGAGTGTGGGATAACACGAACATTATTCGGTCCATTAGCCGATACGGACCTTGGGAAAAATTTTGGTTCGACACGAACGATTTCAAACAATTTATTAGCATTTGCCTGCAATTTTGAAAAAAATAGAAACGAAATTCTCACTCGGAGAAGAATTTAATCTGAATATCAGGGGGTGATTCACGGACACGTACTATTTGTCAGCGTTCTTTTGTAATGCCCCGTTCGGCCAGTGATAAAATTTGTTTCGTTCCAGACTGGAAAAAAATATGCCCGGGCGAAGAGAAAATGAAATATTAACGTTGCTTTACGGTCAAACGTGACGCTTTTCTATAGCGAGACCCTCCCTGAATGGTTTATGAAAAAGTTTAATTAAGAGCTGGAATTTTGTGCCAAGAATAAATATTTGTTGTGGTTTGGATTTTGTCACAATCATATTTGATTGTATTTCCTACAAGTGCACGTCCGATCAGCTTGATACTCAATATTCCACTCAGCAGTCTAAATCTGCATGCAAAATCGATTCAGTCTTGGGGAAACGGACTCGAAAATTAGGGAATGGTATTCTGGAAGCATATATTGTAAATAAGTAACGATATTGTTGACTAGACTGAGAAAAGACACTGTGGGAATTCGAAAATGATGTCTGGAACTCAGAACTTATGGTGATTACCTTAATACCTTAAGAAATTTTCATTTACTTGGAAAATTTTGTTATCTTTACCAGCTCAATTGCCTTGAAATAAAAAAGGTTGAATTACCATCCCCTTTTCAGCGCCTCACTTTATCGTTAATTATGGTCGGTCCAAAATTAAAAAATTAGGCCTCGGGGCGTATTTAGAGGGTAGTAAAGCGATTTTATCACGCCTCCCATTTAACGTTGTTCAAATTTTAATAGGGCTGAGGTTCAAAAATCGTAACGGAAAAATAATTTATTGCCGCAAGTGGCTTCCGAACAGTTCACGAAATGGCTTTGTTTATTATATTTTAAAAGGGTTTGCAAACTAAAAAATATACGCAAGGTTCCATTAAGATAAATCCCCCTTTATATCATTTGGCTGCCAAAAAGAGAATTTCAAAGGACCGTTAGTGCCTAATACTCCAAAAAAGATTTTTATTTATTCCATATTCAACCCCCATAGATCTGCATCGTTATTTTCTTATCTGACAGTCGGAACGTTTATATTTATTTATTGGGTATTTCGGCAGGGATATGTATATGCGTGTTTCAGAATTTCTTTCGTGTAATCACATGATTCCAAATTGACTGTCTTTATACCAATTTCTCAACAGACTTGCAGAAGTTTCGAGCTCAATTAGGCTTTATCTATTTCCAATATCGTGTCTCTCAAAACATGTCAATCGCAGCCTCGAGCAGAGATCTACGCATGTGACTTTATGCATAATAGGAAATTTGAATTTCAATTGGCATTGGATTGTAAAGGTTTTATCATCTGACATGTAAAATGCATAACAATAATATATTTTAATTTCTAATAAATCCACATAATTTAATCGTTCACGACGCTCATTAATATAATGCATTAAACATAATAAACATAGATTAATGTTTTATTTTTTTGTCCGCCTAAATAAGCGGAGTCATCACAAAAGATGATAATTAATCTTCGCTCAGCAGGATCATTTAGCTTAACAAACAGGAACAGGACAACGTCGGACAATCGGAAACTTGCTTAATAACCCTTGGAATCATTTATATTCGGCACTTAACCGGCAGGAAACTGAAGCGCTTAAGTTTGTTTTTCCGATGAAATAACAATTTTGATTCTAAAAGATTAATTATCTCGGTTGGATTAAAGACTTGTTTTAGAAAAAAAAACTTTAGTTAATGTATCACAATACTACTTTGATTGGAAGATTTTTAGATTTGTTTGCCTTTACGCTGTGATGTTCAATAAGGGATTTTGAGAATAATATCCCAGGGAATCCATTTTGAGTTTGTTTTATAGACATTTTAAGCCTTAATGCTTTCGTTTTTAAAAGTAGAGGCAGACATGTATGCGTATCGATAAACACTATAGATTTCTGTTTACAAAAGCATGTTTTTCATCTATCAATCAGAACAAAATACCTCTGTACCTCTGACAATATACTAACAATAGATATACCTCTACAATTAACTGTTTTATAAACAAGCTAAATGAAAAATTGCACCAAACAAAACTGAATAATATTGTGGCTTAATTAGCAACTAGCAAAAACCACACTCTTTCGTATTTATAAAGCTTGCAACGAGATATTAAATTTCTGAATAAATTTTGTTTAGGTTTATTAAAAGGGGGAAACAAATATAATCCACATACATTATTATTTTAGCTTCAAAATTGTATAAAATCATGCAAGTTTTATGTCAATTATTGTTCCGAAACAAACTGACACGTAGTGTTTCCGTTCCAAAGCGCATTTTTAGACAATCAAGCAAATGCTGTTAGCAATCGTGTCGTTCAAACGAGGAATGACAATGGTATGTGTATCCTCGGGCCCATACAACGCTCGATACCTTGATTTAATTTTTTTTTTTTGGAAATTCCATTCCACGCATCGTAATGAGGATGCTTTCGGGTTTTTTCATTTTCCGGTTTTCTGGTTTTCCTGTCGCTAGTAAATTTCAGTAACTCGCTTTAAATATGTTGACGGGGATACTTTGGTTTTATAAAAGGTTTCAGTAGTGACGTAGTCCAAAGTTGATAAAGAGTGAAAAAAAGATATGACTTTAGGTTAAATTGATGGATCACGTAACAATACACAATATGGTGACACTAATTACTTGGATCAGGTTTCAAATCTTTCACATGCCAATTACCAATCGACACCCCTTGATCATTTTCGAGCACATAGATAGAATACCCAAATTTCCGAATCCTATAGGGTCCGCAAAACTTCCCTGCCAATTTTGAAGCAAAATAACTGGCCCCATGTGCCTTCTACGAAGATTATACTGGTTGCGAGACTTTTCCAATACGCTTCTCTACAAATTCCCTAACCTTCTTCAAAATCTGTTTCTTATTACAACTTGAATGAGCAACATCACCCCCTGACAATTTACTTGTGAATTCATCTCCATGCGTAACCATCTCTTGTCCAAAATTTATAAAATATGGAGTTGCACTGGTGACCTCATATCTTGCACTCCGATAGGCACAACCCAATTTAGCTAGGCATTCATCCCATCTACGATGATTTTCCTTCACATACGCCGATATCATTTTCCATGATTCACCCGTTGAATTGGATTGCATTGAGGTATGTAATTAGGATTGTAAATGATTTTACCACCAAAAGATTTACACAAATGTGTGTGTGTGGCTCTTCTTGAAGGGAAAAATAGACTAAATTTACTAAAATTATCAATAACATATAAAATGTACTGATTCCCATGCGATGATTTCGGCAGAGGACCACAAAGATCAGTACTTATCACTTGCCAGCACTTATGAATAGGCATGGATTTACCCATCAACCCAGGTGGTTTCTTTTGCTCCGGTTTAGTCCTAAGACAAGTCTTACATATACGAATGTATCGAGCAATATCAGATTTCATTCCAGACCAATAGAATAATCTCG